CCCCCAACACACACACACACACACACATTTCTCAGTGGATTTGGGCTGTGCTAAGTAACTGCAGTACAGCTCCCAACTCAGATGGCCGTTTTTTGACTGGCCGGCAGACCGCCGACCGGTTGGTGCTACTGGTAGGCTGCAAAATGGTCGGCTTTCGGGGTCTGCGGCTGGCAGGTTTCCAACCCTGGTTTGTGGTATATATGGGCTTGCGAGACTAGTGCTGAATGATGAGCAGTGTACAAGATCATGTGGAGATGTGTGTGTGGGCATCGTGAGGTGGAGAAGAGAGGATGGGTGGAAATGGAAGGGTCATGATGGAGAAAGGAAGAGAGGAGGCTGTATGTAGATGGCTCACGGCTTTCGAGGAGAAATGAGCATCGGGGCTCCCAGTAGTCTGTAGACAGTTTTTTTTGGGAACAATATATCTGAATCTTGTTTGTGGCGATGATGGTTTGGCAGGATGGTACTCAGAAGAATCAGAAGACGTTTATCCATGTACCGTCCGAAATTGGCGCTTATGAAGCAGAGGAAATAGGTATGCTGCTGTTTAGGCTTCCCTTCCACTTTGAGTTCTACTTCTTTTTGGTTGTTTTTAATTTTGTAAAGAGGGCGTTATGGGTGGTCTTGTCTTCTTTTCTATTATGGGAAGCATCAGTTCGGTTCCTCTTCTACTAGCAAGTCAGATGGAGTACAAAATGCTCTCTTCTCTTCTCATTACCGTCAAGGGAACCTTGAACATCATGGATTACTCCCTGTGGGGAGTATCGACTGCTGGACATGGCTGATGCATTGGAAAGTCATATTTCCTGCTGGTCTGGTACCCATGAAGAAGACGAGCTCCAAAAACCAGAACCCTGCCTGTCCCTCCTCAGTCTGCTTAGTGCAGTCCAGCAGCAGTGCCAATAACTTCCAGAGGAACGTAGTGCTGCGTGACCTTGTGGCTCAGAGTCTTGTAGTAACGCTCCTTGACCTTCCCAATACTCTCTCTTCCGTGGCTCTCTCTCTGTCTCTTTCCCCTAGGAGGCACTGGCCACGTGCATGGCTGATTCCTCTTGAAGGATCTTGCTATCTGAAAATCTATCCGGTGTTTGTTTTTTGCTAAAGGGCGATCCCTTCTCATGCTAATGTGGCGGTATGGCATGTTTTTTTTCCTTCTGCACTTCTGTGCTTGTGGCAAAAGATTACTGCTGTGGCAAAAGATAGCTGCTGGGGAATGGAAAGAGAGAGTGCTTGCCAGATAACAAAAGATTGCTTGCGGACGCCATCGAGAGCGTGGAACCCTTCTGGCAAAGGTTGTGTTTTTTAACTCATGTTCTTTGTGCTGCACAGGTGTGGAACATTTGCTGCGAGACGTCAAGGATGCGACGGTTAGCACGCTAGCAACAGAAGTGAGTGTCTTTGGCAATATGACTCTTTTGTGGGAATCTTTGTTTGTTCATTATACCCTTGCCGCTGAGCTGAAGAGCGGGCAAGCTGTGTGTGTGCTCCCGTTTGTCTTTCGGGTGTGTTTGTTGGGTTGTCGTTTTCTTGTTGCTAGGCTGAAGAGCTGGCAGGCTGATGCTTGGTGTGCTATTCGTCAAGACAAAAAAATGCAAGTGGTGTGGGACGAGTAGCAGCACTGTTGAAGAGTGGAAAGCAATGAACCGGCTGTTGCAGGTCACAAATTCTGAAAACATTTAGTTAGGGCCAGTGTCCCTTTTTCGGTTCCTTTCCTGGAATAATCGCAAGCATTGCGCACATGCCGCATGGCCATTAGAACTGTATATATGGGCCAAAATATTGCCCTGAATAATAGATTCAGCAATAACGACCGTGCTTTGTGTTTGGGAGAGACAGTAGTGCTGGCTTATCGGTACGCACTTTTTGTGTCTCAATGTGGTGGGCTTTCTGACTATTTTACTATTTTTCGGACCAGCCTGTGGGATGGCAGTGTAGGGGAATTTCTTGCGTTCCCGTGAGGAAGAACACACCATCACCTGTTGTGAGACACATAATAGCTGCCCGATAGAGAAATGGCGAGAGAGAGAGAGAGGGAGAGAGAGAGAGAGATCCCAATTCTTTTATCTCGAGGGGAGGTGATGATTCTATGAATTTGCAAACTGCTGCTGGGCTTTCGGTATTTGCTGCCAAAGTCTAGTTTTTACTCTTATATGTGGTATTCACTCTTGTTGGACTCTTGGATCGAGTTCTACAGTCTCTCGGAAAACTAGTTCTTCTTTTTTACCCCATTGCTTACTTTATTACCTTTGTTGTGCCTTTTTTTTTTGTAACTGCCTCCCTTTGCTTACTGTGTTTCTCTGGCTTTGTGGCAACGACAGGTCAGTGGCAAACTACAGGCTCTCAAGGGTCTGGAATCGCGACTTAAGGAGATCCGCTCCTACATGGATCTCGTCATTGAGGGAAAGCTCCCAATCAATCATGAGATCATGTCCCAGCTTCAGGTAAGCAAGTGCATTTCACAGTTCAAATTTCAAGCTTCAAACCTATCTCTCGCCAACTTGAGGCCAGGCGAAAGCCTCTCAGCAACTTTTTGAAACTTTTAGGCTCTTAGCGAACTGTGTACATCTTCAGACATTTCTTTTGTGAGACCTATCTTTCTGATGTTTACTAGCTTCTGTTGCTAATATTAAACCACCAGTACTTGGCCCAGCTATCAAGTCCGAGCCTCCAGCGACCGTTATGTCGAGCCTGGCAAGCCTGGCAGTACCAGTAGCTGGACGGGCCGAGGCTGGGGGGACCAGTTGGAAAACAAAAAGATCGGAAAAAAAAAACGCTGGGGACATGAATGCAGTTGGATGCCTTCTCCCGAGTGCTAGTGTGAGCACGTCGCAGTTTGGGTGTATCAGCCTCGAGGCGTTTTTGTCAGAATCCAAAAGTGCAAGGAAAATGAGCGATAGCGAACTTCAGAAACCAACCAGCATCGTACACATGAGACCAAATAGTCGTGACCTCAAACCAAAAGCAGAATTGCAACACGAGCTCCACCAAATAAGAGCACCGCAAAAGCTCACAAGTGACAATGTTGGGATAGTCTCATCATCGTCAACAATGAACCAATGTCAAATATCCTATTTGGCGCTCTGTGCCCAGACTACAAGTGGCAGATCCTATCTAGCCTATCTGCAATGCCGCTGGTGACGTCAACAGCTCCCTGAAGTACGAGCACATCTCGGCCAATGCCATTCGTCTCAAGCACCAGGTATGTCTCTCGTATCACTCACAACCTCGATCCCTCACTCACAGATGCCACGTGCACCCAAGGACCACCATGCGCCCCATCCAGCTATGCAGCGCAGCTCGGCTATGGCTGTCTGCTCTCCCTGCTCGCCCGTGAGCGCATGAGCCTGGCCAGTGTTTGGCGCAGCAGCGCTTGCGCAGCATGCAGCCACTGCCCGAATGAGAAATGAGGAGGTAGGCACTTTCCTAAATGGAAGTGGCCTGCCTGCTGCGTGCGACCTGGCTGCACCGGGCCCCGGCCCAGAAGCTTTCGGTAGGCCCCGGGAGGCTGAACCCCAGTCTGAACGAATCAGGCCCAAGGCCTGTGACAGTTACCCGTGCCCAACTGCCCGCAGCCTGTGTTGGGTCCTTGTTGCGTATTTCGCCGAGGGCCTGACTCGGATGCATTTGATAAAGGTAGCCAGGGCCTGGGCGCTTTCAACCAACTGGCGCTGCGCAACTGCCTGAATTTCCCGAGTGGCGTGGAGACCCCGAAATAGGCCTTGGTCGGGCCTGCCTTCACTTAGGGCGGCCGACTGTACTGAAAAGAGGGCCCAGTAGGGCTTATCGAGGCCTTGAGCCTCGCAAAAGTGAAAAAAGGGAAAAAAAAAACAAAGAAACGAATCTCAAACAAGGAAAAAAAAAGAAACACGAATTTGGCACTGAAATAAGTTAGATACATTTGTCTGTGTGCAAGTGTGAGTATGCCCTCAACGAGGGCTGTTCAGTAGATCACGGGATATGCCCTGCCTCGCTAGCAGGGGAATCTAAGAAAAATGAAAACGAAACATAAGCAGAAAAAGACGACGTCCAGAATCTAACTGAAATACTAGCTAGAAGCATTCCACCAAGAACCTATGTGACCAGTGACCACGACCCCCGCCCAACTTAGAAAATTAGTTTTTTTTTTTTTTTTTTTGGTTCTTGCTTTTCTACGGCACAATCCTCACCGAGCGGCCGTTCATGTGAACGAACCCCCCCCAAATGCGCTGCGTTAACGGGACACTCCCGCGGCCTATAGCTTGGCCAAGTACTGGTGGTTTAACTTGTATTTCTCGTCTGATAGAACCATGCCGTTTTATCGTATCTTTTTCATATTTACTCGATCAAGAAGCGGTTGAGTCGTCGTTTTGTGCGAAAGTGAGTTTCGAAATTCATACAGCCTGCCTCCTGATGGATCGGCGAAACTCCGACAAAAAACAGTCTATCATATCCCCCTCTTGTTTCTTGTCCGTTTCTTGCATTAAACCAATTTGACAACCGTCTTTTCTTGGTTGTATTATTAACTTGTATAGATGTGTCATCACCTCTGACGTCCTTCACCTTCTGAAAGTTCTGATCGAAACCTCCTGTGTTGGCCGTTGGACCGTCCCATGCTCCCTTCTTAGGCCGTGGTGTCGGATTGCCTGTTGGATGCCTGCATCTCTTTGATGAATCACAAAACTGACACTGTGACCTTATCTGAAAACTGATGGTAAAGAACATGACCCTAAAAAAAAGCAGTGCTTCCTACTGAACGCATGAACCAGAATGAGTTCGGATTTGTGAATGACTGGGTGGATGCTCTCCGCTAACCTGTGAGCTGGCTCCCAAATTGGAATGGGACTTTGAGAGAACGAGTCCGGATTCGCGAACGAGTGGGTGGATGCTCACGCAAAGTGGAGCACTCTGACGAGTGGGTGGACACTCACGCAAAGTGGAGCACTCTGACGAGTGGGTGGACACTCACGTAGAGTGGAGCATTCATTATATTATGGATGTGATTCCTTCGAGTTTCGAACCTGTGACCTACTTGTCAACAGTTACATGCGTGTACCATTAGCCACATGGACTGGATTAATGTGGAGTACCTATTGCTTTATGCAGTGGTTTGTTTTTCGGATTTATTTGCTTGCTCGATTCATTCATTGTCGAGGAGCATTCCCACCCTTGCACAGTCTGAGGATTTGAAAATATTATCTAGCCGATCCTAAGAAAACCAGCCCTTGTGAGCGAAGAGGTTACTCAGACTGGCTCACTGAGTGCTCTTTAGGGTCATCGCGGCTAATGTAGGTCTTCTACAAGGGGCTGCCAGGATGTTTTCTAGAATGAGTCTTCTTTTTCTTTCTTTCTTTCTTTTTTTTTTTCCTGTTTTTCTTAAAAGTGTGCTAACTTCTGTTTTGTAATTCCATTTCAATGTGGGCAGGATGTTTTCAATCTCTTACCTAATTTGGGTATTCAGGAGCTAATAAAGGCATTCTCAGGTGAGCATCCCGAACAGGTTGTGCAATTTCAACGTTTGTGCCACTTGGTTAGTCGACGTTAATTCTTTTATCAGCTCATATCTCAATCATCTCCGAGTTCTGTACATTAATCATTTTGTGTTTCTCGTATAGTTTTCCGGGAATTAATCATCCAGACGTGTCTGAACAGCACGCCCAGCATTTTGTTCTCCCACATCGGCAGTAGTTTGAATAAAAAAGCATCCCAAGCAGTCTTTGCAGGCAGAAAGCTTGAACGCTAGGTTGATGCTTGTACCTGCTGTTTATGGTAAATGGCAAATCGGTGAGGCAAAGCAAAATTTGAAATACCGTAATCAAAATCGATACTTTTTCCTTGAATTACACCCATGTTATTCTTCTTCCCATGTAATTATTTTGAAATCATTTATCATGTGTTGCATGCTTTTCAGCCAAGAAAGCCTATCTCACTCAACTGTGGCAGTGGGCACTAGTCCCTGCTTTCTCTCTCCCCCCCCTCCCCCCCCCCCCCAACTCTGCTCTCCCCGCTTGCTCTCTGTCTCCCTATCTTGTCATATCGTCGGCATGATAGAAGTTTGTGTAGCTGGAGTTCTAGTTTTCTTTGTTCTTTTTCTCTTGTCGCTGAGCTGGGTACTGCTTCATAGCTGGTGCATCACCCTGCACCTGCCGTCTTTCTCCAAACAAGGGGGCAGGGATTCGGCTGGACTTTTTATGTCATACGGGGGTTCTGGTCTTCATGCTTGTACGCTATTTTACATTTTGCCTTGCTAACACTGTGTTTTTGAATGATGTGACAGTGAAAATGAATGACATCATTTTGCCTTGCTAACACTGAGCTTTTGAATGACGTGACAGTGAAAACGAATGACATGATGCTGGTGATTTATTTGTCATCTCTCATCCGAAGTGTCATCGCCTTGCACAACCTGATAAATAACAAGGTATGTTTAAACCCTCTCTCCTGCCCCCCTCTCCTTCCTCCCTCTGCTTCCTCCCTCGCCTTCCCTCAACTCTCTGGCTGGATCAGTGGAGACTTGGTGTGCTGGAAAGTGGGTCAAGGTGTGCATGAGATTGGAGGTGCTTGTTCTGGACAGTTGTGGATCTGTGCACAGGTGATGATAAGAAGAAAGTTTAGGGGAAAGGGGGTGATAAGGCTGGTTTAGAGGATGCTTGCTAGTGGTTGGGTGTTTTGAGGATGCGGGAAGGCCTTGAGTGGGTTACGGGAGTTTTGGGAAGGTTTTCTTTAGTAGGGCTTGGGGTCTCCTGGCACTTGGGCTCACGATTGCAGATGACAGCTGAGGAAAAAGAGGAAGGGGAGTTCGGCTTAGGTAATGGCCAACCATGGGTAGGAGGAAGAAATTGGAGGGTTGTTGTGGATGAGGGGGAAAGCTGTCCAAGGGGGTCAGTGTGTTTGTTTAAGGGTGGCTGAGGGTTTGGTACAGTCTTCTCCCGAGCACAACGCATCCTCATTTTGGCTGTGAAAGCCATCCAAGGGGGTCAGTGTGTTTGTTTAAGGGTGGCTGAGGGTTTGGTACAGTCCTCTCCCGAGCACAACGCATCCTCATTTTGGCTGTGCTGGGCGTGAAAGCTGTCCAAGGGGGTCAGTGTGTTTGTTAAGGGTGGGTGAGTGGTTGGTACAGTCTTCCCCCGAGCACAACGCATCCTTATTTTGGCTGTACGGGGCGTGAAAGCTGGCTTGCGTACCATGGGATCCTTCCCAGCACTTTCTAAGGTTGACATCGCTATGATTCTCTGTGTTCGCTACTGTTTTGCAATCCGGTTGAAGGGGCCAGGAGAAGCACTTGTTGTGAAGTCTAGTTGTGTGTGTGTGTGTGTGTGTGTGTGTGTGTGTGTGTGTGTGTGTGTGTGTGTGTGAGGGGGATGGGTCTGTGTTCGCTACTGTTTTGCAATCCGGCTGAAGGGGCCAGGAGAAGCACTTGTTGTGAAGTCTAGTTGTGTGTGTCTGTGTGTGTCTGTGTGTGTGTGTGTGTGTGTGTGTGTGTGTGTGT